AATGGTAGGGAAAAGGGATTGCCTGAAGATCACTGTTTGTGTGCCTTACTTGAACATAGCTGGATTGTAAGGGCTTAGAGGGCAGCTACCTGTTCTTTAGATAGACCAGATAATCTCTCTGTGCCTCAGTTTTCCCATCTCTTAAGTGAGGATGATGGTAGGAGCTAATTCGCAGGATTGTGGTGATAAATTAAACTGGATGGTGCCATGTAAAGCACTTAGAACAGTGCCTGACACATGGTAGGTCATCCAAAACTCAGATATTCTAGTATTAATTATTATACCAGATTTGCCAATTTCCTTACAAATAAAAATCTTTTAATATATTAGTAAATCGTTGATTGCACCTTTTTATTTTGAGTGTGTGATCTTCTTTAAAATTTTTTTTTTCAACGTTTATTTATTTTTGGGACAGAGAGAGACAGAGCATGAACGGGGGAGGGGCAGAGAGAGAGGGAGACACAGAATCGGAAACAGGCTCCAGGCTCCGAGCCATCAGCCCAGAGCCTGAGCGGGGCTCGAACTCACAGACCGCGAGATCGTGACCTGGCTGAAGTCGGACGCTTAACCGACTGCGCCACCCAGGCGCCCCAAGTGTGTGATCTTCTTTAAACAGCTGTTATGCTTTATAAATGTTTGATAAACCCATCATTAAAAAGTCACCTAATTGTTGGGGTGCCTGGGTGGCTCAGTCGGTTAAGCGTCCAACTATGGATTTCAGCTCAGCTCAGGTTTGTGAGTTCGAGCCCCGTCAGCCTCAGGCTCTGCGCTGACAGCGCGGAGCCTGCTTGGGATTCTCTCTCTCTCCCTCTCTCTGTCCCTCCCCCACTCTTTCTCTCTCTCCATCAAAATGAATAAATAAACTTTACAAAAAAGTCACCTAATTGTTAAAGGCACAAGCTTCCAGGTCTGAAAGCTCTGGGTTCAAATTCAAATGCCTAACTTACTACTTATGTAACCTGAGAGCTTCTTTAACTTCCCTAAACCCATTTCATCACTGGAACTACAATACCTATTTCACAGGGTTGTTGTGAGGATTATATGCGATAAAATATGTAAAGTGCTTGGCACATAGCAGGGACTTAATAAATGGTATCTATCCTTTTTCTTTATTTTATTTTATTTTATTTTATTTTATTTTATTTTATTTTATTTTATTTTAGAGAGAGAGCATGAGAGGAGTGGGGAGGGGCAGAGGGAGGGAGGGAGAGAGAGAGAGAGAATCTGCTCAGCATGGAGCCCAACTTGGGGCTTGACCCCACAACCTCTGGGATCATGACTGGAGCTGAAATTGAGAGCTGGATGCTCAACCGACTGAGTCACGCATGAGCCCCTATCCTTTTTCTTAACAGTTTCCAAATGCACAGCAGACTTGTGTGTCGAGATCCCCTTCATGTTTCACACAAGTCCCTCTAAGACCTGGTCCCTCATCCTTTTCCAGCCTCGACTCACACTATTCCATCTCTCATCTTGTTCTCCCACAACACCGACCTGCTTTGTAATTCCCACCCCCCTCCCACCCGGGCCCCAGCATACACTTTGTCCTCACCACCAAGTCTCTGTTCTCTACTCTCTCCACCTAGATTGCCCTTCCTCCTTCCAGAGCTGACATCTTCTCCACACTCCACAGCACCTGCTCCCACCACACACCAGGCCTCCCTCATCACCACTCATTTGTACTGCTTTTGTCTCTTGACGTATCTGGTTTGTTGGCTAGACCATACCTTCTTTGAGGGCCTGAGCTGTGTCTCATTTACCTCTGAATCTCCACTAACACCGTACTTGGCACAGGGCAAGTGCAGAATAAGTGACTCTTGAATGACCCCATCTGAGAAGGAGATGCCCCTTATACTCGCTTTCTGCTCCACCCAGAGAGCCACCAGCTCTGTCTTGAAGTGGGGCCCCCTTCTGCTCACTGGGATTATGCAAGAGCATTTTGCTGCTTGTAGCGTCTCCACCCAACACAATATATGTAGGCAAAGCAAGGCTTCACAGAGAGAAGCCAAGGGGGCCCTGCCCAGTCAGCCTTCCCTGTGGAGGTATACTATATATCAATACAAGCTGGACTTGTATGCAGACACACAGCAGCTTTCTGAACTCTATCACTGAACTATCTAGATTTTTCTATACCTAGGTTATATTTGCTCCTGATCAGCCTGGATATAGTATGCAAAGCTGCACTGAATTATTAACAACACTGATGAGAGCAAGGAGTACAACAAGGGAAATGTCAAGGGGACAAAATCTTGGGTTTAATGGTGCCAAATGCCAAGAAGGAAATACTTCCACCAGGGCCTTGTCCCAAGGTTATGCACAAAGATAAGAGGACTCAAGCACGTATAGAAGCAAAAGGCCCCATAAGTTCTCAAAACACAACTTAAGTAAACATTTATGGAGCTAATACAGTTTGTTATAATGTTTACCATAAAATAATTACAAACAAGAGGGAAAATCATAACCACTGTAATTAAAAAACAATTCAGTAGGCTATAAGTCTACACAACCATATGAAATTTCATATTCTACTACCTCCTCTGGCCTTTACCCAAGAACATTAAAAAAAAAAAGACAAGGAAGAAGAAGAAAAAGGGAAACTATTGCATCTAAAGGATTGCCTTTAGAGAGACCAAACTGAATCCTCAGCAGTCTGTGAGAGTATAGGGACCATGCTCTCAGTTCTACAGGTCTGCTCACTGACCTCCAAATGCCTCTTTCATCTCTGATCTTGGGACCATGTCGGGAGCTATGGATACAGGTCATTTCTGGTTTTCTGGCCCCTACAGCAGAGAGTACTTCCCTCCCTCCATTTCCTAAAGATGTGGGACCCCATATAAGACCTATAGGGCCGGGGCGCCTGGGACGCTCAGTAGGCTGAGTCTCGCACTGTTGGTTTTCGGCCAGGTCACGATCTCATGATTTCTCACGAGAGTTTGAGTCCTACCTGGGGCTCTGGGCCGACAGACCGGACCCTGCTTGGGATTCTCCCTTTCCCTCCCGCTCTCTCTGCCCCTCCCCCACTTGCGCTGTTTCTCTCTCTCTCTCTCTCAGGATAAACAAACTTTTAAAAAAGTAATTAAAAAAAAGACCCAGAGGACATTGGGAACAGGAGTTATTTGGCCTCCCTTTGCTCCTAATCACAGGGCTGATGCTTGTAGCACCTAGAGAGAATTTCAAGTGTATGGAAGCCCGGTCTACAGGGACTGAGGCAAGCGAAGCTCCACCAGAAACAGGGTGGCTCTGGCCCAGACTGGCGTCCGCGGGTACAGCTTGGTCATGGGGGGCGGGGGGGCGGGGCTTTTAGTGTAAAGGCTCCGCCTAGTTTTCCCTCCTGTTCTCAGAGCTAATGCCCTGTGGATTCCACTAGGAGGCACCCCTGCCGGCTCCTAAAGCTTGAACTCTGACCACGAGGCACAGAATGTTGTTCCACGTCTTAAACACATGATGGCGGTATATACTTCTCTATGGCCAGGGCCGCGGGCTTGTGAAAAAAAGCGAGCGGAAGGGGGGTGGGAAGTGCTGACTGAAACTGAAATCCATTGGAGTTCTGTGTGAAAACTGATTATGAATATTTTGAATTTTGGGGGGGAGCCAATAATTAGGGAATCCTCCACATTCGACGTATTCCAATTCTCCAATCCTGAGACACCCTGAAAGTCTACCACTTGGCCACCCAGCACATCCCTACATCCCGCAAGCCTGGGGTATGACCCAAGGAACCAGCCTGCCTTTCTCTCCACGTATTTGCCCTTTAACCTTTCCGTGGCCCCAGAATCACATTCTCCTCAGAACTGAGAATGCCACAGCCTGCAGTTTCATTGGACAAGGCCCCAGTGCCGGTGAGCGTTCCCTCACCGCAGCTCTTGAAAGGGTGAGGGCAGAGACGAACTAAAGTGGCAGGTGGAGATCAAAAAAGGGTGCGGGGAGTAAGCTTGGAAAAGTAGGGGAAGATACTGAAGTGAGGAGAAAAGAACAGAACTGAGGAGAAAGAGGGGGTGCCGAGGCGACGGACGCGCGGAGAAAACACAACGGGGGAAATGAAGGGGGAAGAAAAAACGAGGAGAGAAAAAGGAATGGGGGAGAAGAGGGGGGGGGATAAGGAAATACAGAAACGGAGAAAAATAAGGAAAGAAAGGGGGCAAGAAAGAGAAGGAAGAGGGGGCGGAAATGGGTAAAGAAAGAAAAACGGAAAAGAAAAAAAAAATGAGAGAAAGTGAAGAGAGTGGAGAAAAAGCGCCGAGAGACGGAAAGGCAAATTGAGACGCAAGCCCAGAGAGGGTGAGGGGGCAAGGCAGCGGGAAGCCTGCCGGGGAGCCGGGTATTCCCGGAAGCCCGGGCAGAGATCGCCTCAAATGGGGTTCAGGGAAAAGAGGAGAGAGCCAGTGGGGGAAAGAGGGGAAGAGAAGTGAGACGAAGGGGACAGAAACCGAGGCGAGTTTGAGCGCGCTTCTGTGAGTGTCCTTCAAAGGCTTTCACTGGGCACTCGGTAGAGCGTGCCTGGCACTTCGGACTCTCTGTGGGGGCAATCGCTCTCTTTGCAGCCCCCACCCACCCCCGCCAGAAACAGGCTTGTTGGGGGCGGTGGTTGAAGGCGGCCACGAGGCGGGCTCGCGGGGAGCGGCGGCGTCTCTCCTGCAGGGGGACCCGTCCTCGGTGGGACGCGGAACGTCTGCCCTCCGGCGGAGCTCTGGAGACCAGAGATCGCTAGTAGATTTCTTAACGGAGGATGCGCCCTGACCCGCGAGAGAGCTCGAGCCCAGGCGCCGGGCGCGCGGACGGGGTGGGGAGAGCCGGGCCCGGCTCCCAGCAGCGCGGGCGAGGGTGCGGGCGGCCGTGTGGGTGCGAGGGCGAGAGGGCCCCCGGGTGCGGGGGGGGGGGGGCGGGGGCAGGGGATTGGGGGCAGAAGCCAGCCGGCCACGACGGCCGAGGGTTTTCCGCCGCCCCCCAATCCCCCGCCCCGCGGGGTAATTTACATGCTGTCACAGCCCCGTGCTGACTCCTGGGCGTGAGGCTCGCTCACTCGCTCGCCGGCTCACTGGGTCACTCGCTCTCGGCTCCTGCCACCGCTCAGCCGGCACAGCCCAGGGGAGCCCGTGAGCGGGAGAGCCAGCGAGCCGGGGAGGGAGGGAGCGAAGGAGGGAGGGAGTGAGGGCGCGCCCCGGCTCTCCCTCTGCCCTGCCGCCCGCCCTTCCTGCTGCCACAGGTCCGCCGAGCCCCGCTCACACTTTGGAAACTTGGGACTGTGCTAGGGCCGCGGGTGGCACCTAGGGGGAGGGCAGAGGGGGAGGGGAAGAGGAGGAGGAGGAGGAAGAGGAGGAAGAAGAGGAGGAAGTGAGCCCAAGGATCCGTTCAGAGCTGTTTGTCCAGCTGTTTCTATTCGCACCCGGAGCGGCACAGCCAGGAGGGGGCCGAGCCGAGGGTGGCTGGCTTTAGGTGCTAATTTCCAACTCTACTCGCAGCCTGTGTTTTCCATACACCCTGGAGTCCCCTCAGGCCAGCCCGGCGGGCGCGCACCTACCAGCCGACCCTGACCTCGCCGGCCCAGCGGCCCCCCAGTCTGAGAAGATGGCCCAGTCCAAGACCGACTGCCGCTCACCTGTCGGTCTCGACTGCTGTAACTGCTGTCTGGACCTGGCCCACAGGAGCGGGCTCCAGAGCGACAGCAGCGGAGAGAACAACAACCCGGGCAGCCCTACCGTGAACAACTTTCGGCAGCTGCAGGAGAAGCTGATCTTCGAGAACCTCAACGCCGACAAGCTCAACAGCATAATGCGGCAGGATTCGCTAGAGCCCGTGCTGCGGGACCCCTGCTACCTGATCAACGAGGGCATCTGCAACCGCAACATCGACCAGACCATGCTGTCCATCCTGCTCTTCTTCCACAGGTGGGTGACTGGGCATACAGATGGGCACGCGGGCCGGGCCAGCGCCAGCCTCTGCCGGACCCTCACCTCTGACAGAAGGCGCTACCGTGAAGTTCACAAGGGGCGGGGCGATAAGACTTGTCCCTGATGCTACCTGGAGTCCCGTGGGGCTGAGGGGAGGCCCTGCAGGTGGGAGCCCGATCTTGAAAGGTGCCCGCAGGAGACTTTCCCAGGGAAATGCTGCAGTCCAGAGGGTGGACAGAGCCCTAGATAGGTTGGGGGTAACTGGCAGCACCCATTCTCAAATGCATACATTTCCACTGCCACTTTGGAGATTCTGCCGCGGGATGCTCTTGGGATCTGAGTTCTACCCTTCTCAAAATATGCAAACTCAGATTGAAATTGCAAGGGCTTTTATTTTTTA